GTGGAAAAAATTGGAGCACAGGACACAACAGCAAATAGTTCAAGCTATCGATAGTAGAATGGTTGTCCTAGAACTCACATATCATTATGTTTACAGTGAATGGATATCACGAGCGCCAGCTCAATTAGCAGACAGTTTTGCACATTGGAATTGCTAGAACTAGAGGCCCGATAATTTTCCTCGTAGTCAATAACATACTGATATCTTTCCGTATAATGTGCTGCAAGTCTACCACCTGAGGATTCCAAGGTGAAGATAAGCAGCGGAGCTGGATGGATTTTCGACAACGTTGAGGAATGTGTGTGTGTGAGCAGTATGTCTTTAGAGCTGACGCTTTCTTTTTTGGATCCAGTCGTATAAGTCACAGCAGTCATCACATACTCATTGATCAAAACCCAGTGTTCCTGCGGTGTTTGTGGTGCCGTTGAATTGAACAAGCTGTGAGCAACAGCTTCTCGGAACTTCTGTGATATGTTGACGCATTTAATCCTGAGTCTGGTCGATAATAACTTCGAGGAGTATTCTCCAGGAGCAGTCATTTTAAATCACATGATTGCTTAATCCGTATTACAATCACCATAACGCATCATCTGTGTTAGAAAGACATCCTTCAAATTTCTTTATCGGAAAATAACATAAACTAAGAAATACCCACGTTGACTTTTGGTTGCACATTCCCGGTATTGAACCACAAGTTCCCGATGGCATTTTCCATAGCCACACTCGTCGCCAGGATTCCCGGCTCCAATTCCGAACTACCCGAATATTTCTCTCCGTGTCCGGTTGTCAAAACCGAGAGAGGGAGAGAGGGAGCAACAAAGAACTTCCTATTTAGCATTTAGCCCCCAAAGTACCTTTTGTTATTATCCACCATGGTTAAATCTTGCGATTACAATGAACCTAGAACCAGTATAGAAGAACCGAGGAGATCAGTGGAGCAAAACGATAACCTGTTACTGGTGGCATGTTCAAATCGACGAGTAAACATCATGTTTGCACTTTGGACTAATGGTTGACCAAAGAGTTGGGTCTAATACGATATAACCCTTCTGTTTAAGCAGATGGGGACTGACTCCGTCGCTTGACTTGTGTGACGTGTATGCTGAAGTGTGACGGTGTGTTTAGCTGTTGAAGGGCCAGTCAGTCCGGTAAATGAACTAGCAGGAAACATTTTCCAATCCGGATGCATGTGATGGGCACACATTAATTAACTATAACTCTTTACATAACCTCAGGATGAAAAAAACAGTCCCTATCCAGTTTCAGTAACATCGATGTTCGATTAATCGTCTATTCACGCTCTAACTGTTGTGTATGAGAGAATTACGATTCCAAACAGTCACTCGATTGGTGGTGCTACTCAGCTGCACGTGGAGTCCGAAGGCTGTTTCGAGTTTTATGTGGCTGGCATTCGGATTATCGAAATGTTGTCTCTGTTTCATCATATAAGGTCAATATAAGCGGATATTGTGGAGGTGAGGGAAACGGAATTGTCTGGAATAAAAACATCCGAGGCTACATTAGGGTACGGCGCTTCCAGACATCACATTTCTCTCTTCACTGATGCCAGTGTGATGTGGATCACCATGTATCGAATGTGACAGCTTGCGCGGTGGCACTGCTGTTTGAAGAAGGTGGGTTTAAGTACGACCGTATCATCCCCTGCTTATTTAGGACCGCTAAAAGTTGTAGTAAACTGACGAAGGAGCACAATTCACTTCGTGATAGGACTTGATCTTTTGATCTTTATAAGCACTCTTACATTTGTTTCGAATGGGATGACATCTTTCTAGATATGTATTTCATGACTCGTCATTGGGTCTTGATCTGAACACCTCTGGGTTGATGTCCTTATTATATGGATGAGTGGCAAAGCTATTCCGGGACAGACAGTGCTCCGACGTTGCGCAACCAGCTCAACTGTTTTTAAAACCGTGCAGTACACCCTTGCACCGATTACACGTTTATATCAAAGTTATGCGGCAATAAGAATAGTTAGCTTTTTCACTAGCTTTGGCGATCTTTCGAAGCAGTTAGTTAGGCTCATGAAGTAGACATTATTGTATTGTGTGCTTTTGATAGAAAGCCTGATAAAAGGAAAGTGTCGTAAGCGTTGGGAATAGGAGCATTCTTGACTCCAAAGGCAATGTAAGGCCATCGAAAGTCACATTTTCGCCAAAGTAGACGTCTACATGGACTGTTTCATCAACAAACGTGCGGCTCAGTATCACACAGTATACGGAGCAAACAAGAGTCGAATACAAACAGAAAATAGTTCAAAATCACCTCAGGCCTCAGCTAGGACATGAGGAGCTAGACCTGTTGGGCTCTCTCCGACGTGGTCAGTTTAGGCAAAATCTTACCTGTGACAGGAAATTAGCATATAACGCTCAAGTAAAAAGTATGAACCTCAAAAACACATGAACAATCATCGGCTTCGGTCCAAAAATGAATGAATATTAGTAGTCGTTGTCATCATTTCGGGGATATCCCCTCAGGGTGATGGTGGTATATCGAACTAATCTCTTGATTCCCAATAGAGAATATGTACTGATTTTTGAATGGTCATTGAATTAAGGCAATCGGTTGTATCTGAAAGCTTTCACACCTGCGGTAGTTCATTAGGTCTGAAAAGATGTAGAGACTGTCCCTGATCTTAATTCAACCTGACCTTTTTGATGATTTTCAACCAACCAAGAAGAATAAAATTCCAACAAGCTTATTAAGGACGATGCTTGAAGTACACCACCATCGAGGAAATCCAAAGCATTTCCTGAAAAATGATGACTTGTGAGAACCTTTGGCATGTTTTCTGATCCAGATTAGTGAAACTATCAAAGTGATTTTTCAAGTTATTTCATGAAGTTGAGATGGAGTTTTCCACTTTGTCCAAAGTGAATGCTCCGACTGTGCTCCTATATATATATGTACGAAACACACATATCCGCGCCGCACGGTGGACTTGTTTAGTGGACTTCAGCCTCTACGAGGTACACTCTTCGGGATGGTTTGTTCATATAGCTAAACTGAAGTGAGAACCACGGAACACGAACAGTTGCTGCGAGGACGTATTCTTTTACAACAACTGAAAGAACGCTGATTATTGGTAACCTGATAAATCTTGCGTTATTTTGCGTTGCTTCATGCTATCCTTTAGATGCACTGTCTTTAACTGCTTCAATGAACGATGTTGTATGCGCATTCTTGGCTTAGTTATGTCAGGGCCTGGTGATTCAATGGTGCTTTGTTTATGATAAACTGCTCATGGTGATGGTTCAGCAATAAATATGATACAATGGTATGAGATATTCACCTTGAAGTCTTTTTTGAAGAGCAGATCAATCAGTTCGGGAAAAAGAAGCTTTTGTGTCGAGTGATTTTTTGCAAGAGAGGACGAAGTTACCTGCTTCCAAATAGGTCTTTTCGGTGGAGATGATTCATCTTGAAGAGGGCGGTTCTCCGGGGGATAACTTTTTTTAAAATTGTGAACAGTAGTGGAAGATTGATCCAAATCTGTAGGTAACTCACTACCTCAAACAGGTGAGAAGAGTTCCTGAATTTCAAACCGTATCATAGTTTGTATCAACCCAACATCTTATTTACTCTAGACGTGTAACCCGTGAACAGACAGAGCTCATGCAAATGTGACCGAAAACACTGGACTAACGGAAGGGAAAACTGAACTCTCACGGCCATAAATCACTTTATATGATTTCCCGTATATGTGCATGCAGTTTCCAACACCCGACGATGTAGTTGGATATTTCTATACTCACTAAGGAAAGTTTGACTGATTTTTTTTCAGACACAGTCCGGAAAACGCTCAAAATTATCAAACATGTGCGAATAACTGCCGGCACCACACGTCCGTTTGGAGGAAAGAAAGATAAACAAACAAACAAATAATTCGCACATTTTGCATATTGTAGATCCCTAGCCAGAACAACATATTGCCACGAGAAAGCACGAGACTGATTCTAGAATTCCAGAAGATAAAAATAGTCAGTGTAAAATCGTTTCACACCAGATTATAAAGGCCGATTCACATTTTGCACACATGATTATCACATATTAAAGAGCCTGAAGCATTTAGGCCGCTCGGAATGAAAACACGAAGAAACGTCTACAGCTTCAGATATGTTTACAACGAAACGAAGCACATATAAGTTTTTTTTGCAATGCTGCAGTACCGATTGGTTTCCAAAACGTCGTAATGCTACGAAAGTAGTTGAATCCGGGNTATATATATATATATCCGCGCCGCACGGTGGACTTGTTTAGTGAACTTCAGCCTCTACGAGGTACACTCTTCGGGATGGTTTGTTCATATAGCTAAACTGAAGTGAGAACCACGGAACACGAACAGTTGCTGCGAGGACGTATTCTTTTACAACAACTGAAAGAACGCTGATTATTGGTAACCTGATAAATTTTGCGTTATTTTGCGTTGCTTCATGCTATCCTTTAGATGCACTGTCTTTAACTGCTTCAATGAACGATGTTGTATGCGCATTCTTGGCTTAGTTATGTCAGGGCCTGGTGATTCAATGGTGCTTTGTTTATGATAAACTGCTCATGGTGATGGTTCAGCAATAAATATGATACAATGGTATGAGATATTCACCTTGAAGTCTTTTTTGAAGAGCAGATCAATCAGTTCGGGAAAAAGAAGCTTTTGTGTCGAGTGATTTTTCGCAAGAGAGGACGAAGTTACCTGCTTCCAAATAGGTCTTTTCGGTGGAGATGATTCATCTTGAAGAGGGCGGTTCTCCGGGGGATAACTTTTTTTAAAATTGTGAACAGTAGTGGAAGATTGATCCAAATCTGTAGGTAACTCACTACCTCAAACAGGTGAGAAGAGTTCCTGAGTTTCAAACCGTATCATAGTTTGTATCAACCCAACATCTTATTTACTCTAGACGTGTAACCCGTGAACAGACAGAGCTCATGCAAATGTGACCGAAAACACTGGACTAACGGAAGGGAAAACTGAACTCTCACGGCCATAAATCACTTTATATGATTTCCCGTATATGTGCATGCAGTTTCCAACACCTGACGATGTAGTTGGATATTTCTATACTCACTAAGGAAAGTTTGACTGATTTTTTTTCAGACAGTCCGGAAAACGCACTTATTGCTCAAAATTATCAAACATGTGCGAATAACCAGTCCGGAAAACGCTCAAAATTATCAAACATGTGCGAATAACTGCCGGCACCACACGTCCGTTTGGAGGAAAGAAAGATAAACAAACAAACAAATAATTCGCACATTTTGCATATTGTAGATCCCTAGCCAGAACAACATATTGCCACGAGAAAGCACGAGACTGATTCTAGAATTCCAGAAGATAAAAATAGTCAGTGTAAAATCGTTTCACACCAGATTATAAAGGCCGATTCACATTTTGCACACATGATTATCACATATTAAAGAGCCTGAAGCATTTAGGCCGCTCGGAATGAAAACACGAAGAAACGTCTACAGCTTCAGATATGTTTACAACGAAACGAAGCACATATAAGTTTTTTTTGCAATGCTGCAGTACCGATTGGTTTCCAAAACGTCGTAATGCTACGAAAGTAGTTGAATCCGGGTAAGAATGAACCGAGTACGTCAGAAACTGGAGGTGTATTTTGTCGCAAGTGTTCGAGTAACTATACACCAACCATTTTTCTGGCCAACAGTTGCTGAAAAAGAACGACACAAGGTGTTGGATAATGAAAGATTGTGGAGAGTTAGAATATAGCATAGAGCGTAAGAATGCTTTGGAAAACTAAGAAAATCGAGTGAACATACTGCCAGAAATAAAAAACGATCAGATATTTGGTGGTTGAATAGCATTCGGGCAGAAGAACGCCTACTTTATTGATTTTTCGATCATTCATCTGCTTCACTGTCTCTCCAGTATTCCCAATCACAGTGCATTTGAATGCCTTTTTGATTTGCAACAGCTAGGTGCGCTTCCTCAGTAACGACGTTTTCTGAGGTAAACTATGTGTGAACCTCTCGAGAGGATGAAGGAGAGTGAAGGTTGCCTGAATTATGGCTTATCCGGGACATCTATCGACGAAACCCCTCCGATGGACTGGAGAACGTCTCCCAAGAAAATTCCACCTCGTGGAAGGAGGGTTATCAATACGAACCGTCTCGCACTTCTTAAGAGCCCGAATAAAAAGTATACATTTCATCCAGGTGTTTTCGAACAGTATACGTTGTCCTGGAGTGTTGTGATTCACATATTCCAGCGCAGCAATGTGAACCTGTCATCTAGGTTATTGGGAACCATCGTTTTCTCTCCTTTAGACAAAAATCAACCAGAAACCACCAAACACTGAGCTATCACGAAAAAGCCTCTAGACAGCGGCGAAAATACTAGCGTATGCTGAGAATTCAATAAATAATGAGCTTCCATGCGGTATTTCATTGCATCCTGTAGCCGTGTATTCTTCATATAGTGGTTGGACTGTGGTTTGGTCCGTTCGTCCATCCAGGACTACATGACTACATGGTAAATTCAATTTCAGGCAGAAGGGGTTCGTTACTGGTGCGGATTAGTGTATTCACTCTGTTGTGACGACTTCCTTGACATAATGGCCAACTTCTAGATCTGGGTCAATGGCTCGTGCAGTGGGTACTTCTTGAGGAGTCAATAAGCCAAATGGGATGTCCGATGTGATCCCGTCTACGGTCGTGGGTGGTCTGCTTTTTTGGGAGCAATCGTGATGGAAAAAATTCCGCGTCTACAAGATTCTTTTCTCAGCATTCTCCTGAGCTTCTGTGATGGGGGAGTACTGTGCAAGGAATCATTCTATGTTGTCTATAAAGCCACCAGGATAAGTTGGACACACCGCTCCAAAGGGCGCTCTAAACCACAAAGGCGGTCTTCTGCGGCGATGCCACGTCGCATCTAATGTTGCCCTTTTGATTGCATATAAGCCTGACTACTTATTAGTAGTAAGATTCTAAAACCATTTTTCATTCTCCTGACTGACAGCCACGGCCTGGCATGCCTGATCAAATGCACAGCCACATAAAAATGTCCTTACGCAACTGCTTAGGGCAATTGTGTTTGGAGGCACAACAGTGTTGGGAGAATGTCTATGCATCTATCCTCGATAGGCAGTTTCGCACGTATTTAACAAAACCCATTAAAAGTTGAATCCGGGAGCCAGAGAAACTGTACTGCTTAGTGCCAAGACCAGATGGCTTAGCTTCGGATTCATGTGGCTTTGGTAAATTCGGTGTCCGTAGTAGAACCACCGAACTAACATCTTCCCCTATTCAACTGTAATCGTATTGGTTCAGTCACCAGAGATATCCTTGAAGTGCAATATTTTCAGGGAAGATTCTACTTACCGGTATTGCATAAATGAACAGAGCTAGAAGAAGGCCAACCAGGATGGCAATGAGGACTCCAATGAAAACCCATTTGCAATTTTTCCAAATGATGTATTTGAAAGACTTCCACGGGGATGTGATCCAAAGGAAGGAAGTTGCAGGTCGGCTGTAGAGGATTGCAATATATGGAATAGTTTGAGAATGCGCTAAGTGGCTGGGAATTGCGCTATCAAAATTGACTTACTAGAACTTCACCTTGAAACGGATATTACACCGTAAACTTCCCAGTGAGTCATTTTAGGGGTAATTTGGTTTAAAACTTTGGTGGTTGGTTGAAAAAGGTGAGTGAACCTATAGCTGGTTTGCATTAACCTCATTCGTGGTCACGAGGGAGAAACATTCGCGTAGGTTGATTAGACTGATTATATTTACCCAGTTCACTTTTATTTCTTCAGGTCCCCTATGTACTGGATCCACTGTATATTGACAGCCAGCTTTGAGATAGAACAGGTAGGATGGAATCAGGACTTGCACTTATAAGGAGCTGTAAAAAACAGGCAGGTGTGTATGTGTGAACCAAATTGATATCCAGAATACTGTCGTCTGTACAGACTTCTCCGTGTCTGCGCATTTCTCCTATCGTTAGAATGTTCAGCTTTATTGTTTCGTCCTCTTTCAAATATGGGGTTCCGTTCATATTCGTCGCTAACTTGTTTGTAAGGTTATGACCATAACCACAATATTCACGGCCCAGTGTAATCCCTCATGGACTGATCACATCGCATAAGTCATTCGTTTCAAGACTCCCACCGTATAGTTGACACTCATTCAGATTACACTGTCGGACTGTGATTTTTCGCAGCTTCGGGCGATTTTATCTTATACTCCGTTGCCAACTCAGACTCCGATGTGATTTCGAGCTCAGGTTACTCTCTGAACATGAACGCCAATTTTATTAACATTTTGTTCTGGTTACCTTTGAGATGAGCATCATTTGGCAATGCGACAGCTGTAACTTCACTACCATAAGATTTCTATCTTGTCACTGTCGCCGCTTTACCGGTTCGCTTTTCAACCTTATTCGGACTACCATACAGATATGGCATTTTATTGATAGCTGGACGCCTGTTACTCAATAAATCAATTAGAAATCGAATCACCAAGCTCAACAGTAGGAAGATACGTAAATCAGTGAAGACAAAAACTTGTACAGGCCTAGTGCAGGTTCACAGAGGCCCGAAAGCACAAAAACATTGTTTTCACAAACTGTAGGCGCTTCCTGAATGTTCCAGAATGTTACAGCAAGTCATGCGAACAGTGAACTCCATGGGAATTCAAAGGCTCAAAGAGCCTGAATTCATTCGCCACTGGTGCCGATGATGTCTGTTTGGTAGCGTTTTCCCACGCAAATCGCTTCCATCCACTCAGCATCCGGACCAACCATGAGAGCGATATAACAGGTTAAGGAGTCGGGATTTAATCACCGATAGTTTTTGAATCCGGACTTTACTTTTGTGTGCGATCCACCACCAGGTATTGAGCGGGTGAGTGGAACTAAACGTCAGGAACTTGAAGGTAACACTATTAGATGTGGTTAACTAGGTATTGCTGAGGGTGTGCCTCCTAATTGGTGGAGAGAATTGCACGGCACTTCGAGATGTGGGGCGGTATATCCTTTAAAGACATCCGTGCGCGGGCTGGAATGCGGGCCATCGAGACGGATGTCTGCGATGCTAACCACTATGCGTTCTAGTGGTGTCGGTCGAGCCACGACACGACAACGCAGGACAGGAAGCAGTAAAACAAAACGACTGTAACGGACAGCTATATCATTCCTTTTTCTTGTAATTCAGGGTCGTAATCTGTTCGTCGCTCAGTAAGTCAACTGCACGTGACAAGGGAACGCTTCGCTATCGGTCATTAAACATGACGACAACCAGATGATAGCGACAGCGATTACTGTGTTTAAAACCAGTCGATACTCACATGACAGACCGGAAGCTGTGTTTAGCGGTGCTCACGTGACAACCATTCCGGCTCATCCGTTTTATGGAATGGACCTGATGTTCAGGTACACTGGTCATGGACCAAGGAGCTTGATTACAGAGGCTTTGCTTTAGTAACACCGACAGAATGGCTATGAGTATACTGGCAGGGTCAATGGGTTGTAAATTTCGGACAAGCGAGATCCAGGTACAAGATCAACCTGCTGTCTTTGCAACTTAGAAAAATCGCAGCATGAGCGCAAACCATGTCTTACATGTAAGACGAAATGAATCGATTTCATTGAAAGTAAGTGATAGGATTAGACTGTTACTTTGCTGCTTCGCGACTATCTATGCATCACTATTCGAGCAATCAGATGGGGTAGAGGGGATTCTACCCTCATGTCTTCACATAATCTTTTTAATCTAGTCAAGTATTCCCTGTCACCTACACCACATCACGTCTACGTGATTTCAATCCCTAACGAAGATGTCATAGCACTTACAGATCCAGAGAGACAAGCGAAATTTGCTAATGAAATCCAGGAAGAATAACCATTTGTCGAACTTTGAACGAAAGATAAAGAACTCACACCCGATCACAGTGATTTAAAATTCCACCAATCTGTCGACCATAAAATTTAGGCACCTACGCCAACCGACAAAACCTTTTAGCGACACTCAACACTGGTCTGATGTGCCAATCAAAAGGGACCTTGCTGCTTGATTCTCTGTCTGCCTTAAAACTTAAATAACTGGGTATGACGAGGCTAACGTGTAAAAAGCGGAACGTTGCCGAGTTGGGAACCCACTGACTGTTTACCAAACCGCTTTGAAGCGATGACTTCTCAGTCTGTTCCAAACTGTTTCCAATGAAGCAAAGACCTAAAGTAATTTTTTCAAACAGGTTCACTTGCGCGAACAACTTTTTTTCGTTAATTTGTAAGTGTCCGGTTTCATACCGTAATGAACCGCTGGTGGTTGTCCTACCAGGGGCAGCATAGTGTAGTATCGTGCGTTGGGATTGCGAAGATCCCACATCTGTGCGTTCCTAACACCTCTCCACAAATGTATGAATGAATTTCTGAAAATATCAAGACAGATCAATCAACACAATGCACAGTATCCGAATAAATTATAGTTCGACCCATTAACCGATCAATATGAAGCGTCACATGCGTTCGTTTCGTGTAGGCAGACAACGCAGCACCAATCGATACGTTCGTAGGCAAAAAACCTAAGCCGACTAAAAATCTGCACGGTGGGCTAAAACCGGAGCAACTTTAGAGAGAACACCAAGCTACAAATCCTTTATACTGAAGGACTGCAAATCCTCTTTCATACAGATGAGTATCAGTCCCTTCAAAGAAACGCAACAACAATTCTTTTTGGTAGAAAAACTGACTTTGGAGGGTTCAACTTCGGATTTAAATTTGGCTCATCACGTGCGCGACCAGCAGGTCGCAAAGCCTCCTCTTCTTTTGTGACAATTTCCAGCTCCATTTCGATTTTCCCCTGCAGGATGAGCAATAAAAATACCTCACAACTCGGATCCCGAAAGCAAATGGTTAAAAGGTCATTCGATCGTTTCAAACCATAGGAAATATGCACAACTTTTTAAGAACCAGTTGGCAATCTATGTATAGAAAAAACCGCCTTACCACCTACTTGACTCATATTAACATAACTTTAAGGGCGAATATGCTGATAAAAAGGACGGAAATGGCAAAAAATCTTAAGATAACTGTGACAAAGTTAAAGTCACAGGAGCGGTAACTAATAAATGAAATAAAGTAGGCACATGATTATGTAGTAAACTGTCTGCCGGATGCCTAACCCAAATCACACTTTCATATATTTCGATGCGAGAGCGCATGTAAGAGGCTAGTGAGGGTGCGTGTCACTCAACTGTCTTGTGGGAAGGTCTGGGACTGTCGACCGATATCCCCGTGATGGGGACCCACCTTGAGGGGGCGTGGGACAAAAGAAGGCTCCTGAGAGGCGCCACGACGGGGCGAGATGGCCCAAGTGATAAAAGCACGAATTTACTGACCGGAAATTTCGTGGTTCGAACCCGACCTCTGCCTCTCAATTTCACCTGTCTAGGCTTGGGCAACCTGGTAGTATCCCAGCCCTCGTGCAACCTTCGGGTGGCATGGCAGTTAGGCACCGAAAGGGTGCTACAGCTGAACGATATTTCGATGCATCGTTCAGAATATTGCTACTGTTCATATATTCGATAGACACTATCAAATTTAATCTCATCATTCCAACACTATCTTTTAGGTCGATAAAACCTCTGGACCGGTTTTGCCCTTCTAAAGGCTCATCATTTAGGTCTAGTCACCAGACCTTCCATCTGATCTCTTAGTTGGACAGCAAGCTGCAAAACAAGTCGAAGTATGTTGTAAAAGGAGGATATAGGCGAAATTCAGTCCGGTTATCTTGAAAATGATCACAGTTTATTATTCTTACGAGCTATCGAGTCACAAATTTGCTACCAGTGGGCACACGAGTGAAAGTCACGCAGTGTTTTTCATCAAGGTGTGGTGAGTGCGAATTCTGCTCCACGTCGGATAGGTTTCTGTGAGCTAATGATGGGCTCTCACTCGTCTTCGCTTCAGTCAAGTTTTGAAGTAAGGTAAAGAAAATAGAAAAGATATGCAGTCTATTTATGTAAGCTGATATCTTCGATGATTTATAGCCGTCCAGATCAACTAAAGGGCTATTTAGCTGACAAGTGACTAATTCGCATACTCAATTGCCGTGAACACGAGATTTAAATGACCTTTAAACGATTCTGTCAGCTGTGACATTTCTCCACCCAATACTCGGTGCAGTGGGCGTCTCATGTCTTATTCGAGCGGCTATTTATTACATCAAGGCCTTATTTTATAAGTTATGTGGAAAGATCTAACTTTGTAGATGGGCCTTCAGACGGGGTGAAACCAGTAATGGGCTGCCAACCAAATTCCCTGAATCCTGAATGCTTGTAGAAGCGTCTTTTTGACCACTCTTCTATTTCCACCGTGAACTTTCGAAGAAGGACACTCAAATTTTCAGTAACTATAGTTGTCTATCAAATTTTTGATTAATTTTGCTGTGGTTGTCCAAGGACTGCCAAAGAATCACCTTGTGTATTGAAAAGGTGCAAAAAAGTATCAGACTAACACTAACAAAGCATGATAACTGGCCGCTTTAAGGATATGACATGACCTTTTATTCGATTCCACAGGATTTTCTTCCGCGACCACTGTCCTTAGTCAAATACCATGGCTTGATAAGCAAGTTTCTCTTGCCTGGGTGAAAATACAAACTGATGGCTGGCAGGGTACTGATTTTCGGAATAAACAATTAACATTGAAACAAGTTTCACCCCATGCATTTAGTCGAAGAGCATCACAAATTTTTAAACCAATAATTGATCCAAAAGAATTACAAATAGACCATTTAACTTTTTACAGGTTAGTAGAGACAGCCGGATCTAGTCCCCTTCAATATTCTCTGAAGCGAGCAAATGAAGACCATAGGATGATAGGTTTGCCCCAACTAGGTTACTGGTTGAAAAGTAGCCGTTCATGATGGAAGACCTCCTTAACGTATAAAATTATTGCAACGTCAGTTTCAGGGGCTGTTTGTGGAGCATAATTGTGTAAGTACAGTGACTTGGTAGAAAAAGCTGACTCACGGTTAGAACAGCCGTCCCGTCTTGGTCATTCATAAACGGCCAGAATCCTTTGGTTCTGCGACAGTCAAACAAATTGATCATTTGATTATCGCTTCCAGCCGACTGCATCATGTTCAGCGTGCAGAGCTTAGCGTTTTTCGCAGGAGCCGGCATGTTGGATAGTTTCAGTTCAAGCGTACCCAAGAAATCATTGGGATTGAACAGGTCGTTGTCCCACACCTGCATGATAAGAACCGGAGGCAGACGCCTCTCAGTGGCATCAAGGGAAAAGAAACTTTCTTTGCGTCTCACCACAAGCATGTTCTCCGCTGGCATATAATCGAATGGGAAGACAAAGCGCCAGTTGAAGTTACCCTCTCCGTTGAGCGAACGATAATGGACATCCGTCTTTTGCCGTTCGTCTACGCCAGATATCCAACCCTTAGGAGAGAGCAAATGAAGGATTAGTTGCATCAAATACGGTATTTAAAGTATAGTAAAACGCGTCATTGTCCTTTGTGTAGTTTAATCCCACAGAAATGTTTCCAGTCGTTCTATGAGCTTTGACATTCCTTGTTCCGTGTTCCCCTGAGCACCTGCACTGCTCGAAGCTGAGCAACCCGAGGGGGTAGCGCTCAATATACTTGTAGTGGCGCCAATTCAGATTTTGGCTGGATAAGTTACCACCTAATACCGTCGAGTAACATTTGATTCAACTGTAAATTAACCCCCCAGGAAGAACACCTCTAAAAAACTCTGAAGGGCGTAGATATATACCTCCCATCACCTACGAATTAGTGTGAAATTCCTTAAGCAAGGATCAGCTCAGGAAGGGACCAACAAACTTCCTCTGCGGTAGTGTTTCCTTCAGATCAATTGTTCAAACGCGGAACGTTTTGGTTTGTAATACAATTTAATAAGACGAAAGAAGATACTTCCAATGAGATAGGATACCCTGTTTGCCCAAGAGTGGAAGTCTTATGCCTTCGCGTTCAATTAGGCCTACAGCATGGGTTTTCTCGTCTGAGAAACACTTTTATTATTGTTAGTTGGGGTAAGTTTATGTGACAAAAACACAGACAAGTTGAGGAAGTCTTGGGCTTAGGGAACTGCTCCAATGCAGTCAGAAGCTTGATTACATTACCGACGCGTCAGACAAGAGGACCTCGACACTGTGTTGTTACCAGATCCAGCTAAAGTAGAAGGTTCCCACCCAAAAGAAACATAGTTCGACATGTACGTCAGTATGGATTTTGAAAAATGTTACAGCAGCAATCACCTTCCCCACGTTCAATCCATTCGTCACAAAGGCAAACGCGCAACAAGATAAATTGTCCAATAGTTGTTTAATCACAGAGGTGATTGAAAGAAACTTCATAATAGATTGGGCAGTCACATGCATAGGGCCAATAACGCAATTTACGGTTGCAAATTGGTTGAGTAGTGTTTTGCATTCCCTGTTTGTCACAATGAATGCTCAGAATCTGTGAGAATTAATGCAAAGTTTCTGGTTTCGCTCACCTTCACAAAAATGTCGGACATTTTTTCACCAAACAAGTTTGCCTCCTGCAAGACCACCTCCACTGTATTCCATACAACGATGCGCAGGACGTATGGTGACGGTTGTCGTGGCGAAATATCAATCGCCGGGCCAGGTGGACCATCAGATACTGGGAAAAGGTCAACCCACATATGCAGTCTCCCCTGGAATGTACGGAAAAGGGTAGAGAAAGAAATCATGTGATTGATCATGCAGTGGGGGGGGGGTTGTCAGAAGTCGAAAAAATGCTCTGATGCACGCTTTAATTCGCAAAGATAAACAGCGTTTTCGATGAAAAAGGGGAACGAGTTTACAGGATAGTTTAATTTTTATATTTAGTATTGCCACTCAGTGACAAGTAGCATCGAGGTATGTGAGAGCTAAAACTGTACAATATGTAGCATTTATATCACAACATCGATGTTTTGTAACTATTTTGAAACGAACTTCACTGTGATTGTAGATCAGAGATTGTAGAGACTGTATATCATTAGAGATTGTAGATCAGACTAAAAGTTGTTGCCATCAAGCTGAAAGTGACCGAAACTGTCCCTGTTCGACAGTCAGATTTCTTCAAAAGGTGCGTATCCTATATGGAAACTTTTAAAGTCAAAACACAACGTATTGGAACAAGATGTTATAGTCCAACATTTCGGTTTCCGTGGGTATATCTTCTTGATTCTTTTGCACAAGTAAACGCTGACCATCGGCCTGTGTGAGTCTGAAAGGTAGCCTTGCCCCTATGATTTAGCCACAACTACCTTTTGCCGACTTTTATTTTGTTTTGCAATGGGTTTTCTTTAGGTTAGGCTATATAGCACCCCCACTCATCTGACAGGAAAAAGTTCGTACAGTTTGTGAAGTCTAGAGGTAGTGGTTCGGTTTCTGGACAGAGAGACGAAGATGGTATAGTGGAGGTTGCAACCGAACTATGGTTTGGGGGAATCTGAAGGCTCCTTAGTAAGACAGTGTCACTTCACTGAATGCTGGTATGACAGGGATATGTCATGGTTAAGTACACAGACAATATCCTTATTAAACGTTGCGGGAGCATTCACGCGCTTGGTTTTGTGTAATAACAAAAACTTGCATCAAAGTAGGAGAATCCATTGACTTTTTTGATGCAACGCATTTTTACCTGCAAAGTTCCACCTTAAGTGACCAAAAAACAATTAATCAGTACTAAATATGTACATCACTAACACGAGTTCCAGTTCGTCTCGTGTGTCAACAGTGCACAGTCCTAGAGTGGCCCAGTGCTACAACAATTTAACTTCACTACCTACATTCAAAATACTGCTTATTCAACTGCGTACATCAGGCAAAATGTGACGAACAAAAGAGCACGCTTTCGAACAGGTGACGTCATTAGAGTAGGACTGGACAAAACCCACAGCCTACCTGTTCCAAATCTGGTTGTACTGGATTAAATAGCGGTCGGCTTTCAACGTGTTCCTTCACAAGTGGGAGAATATTCAAAATATGCAGTGCAAGACGTTCTTTTGGAGGTCCACGATGAGGATTCGGAACCAGGCCATGTTCAAACTGATCCAAAGTGAACACTTTGGTCCGGAGACGACAGGACGGAGATGAGTTGTTTTCGTCTGTCTCGGTGAATTCCGGAGGTGGGAGGCCATACGATCGGCACATGTCCATCAGGAGCGCTGTAGGAACTTTAGAATCTCTCCATTTGTTTGGACCGTCGATATAGTAGCTTTGTGGTATGCCACAAGTTGCGCGGTATTTTGTTAGGCGACGATTTTCCAGATCAATATAGGTCTCCCCGATTGTATCATTTGCACCAACCATATCGTAGTCCATAACTCGAATGCGAAGATCCTTCTCGACCGGAAGGCGACACTTTAGCTCGAACATTCTGTCATCGCGGAGCCAGAGAAGGAATTGTTTGTAGTAGAAAATTATTTGACAGAATAAACTAGACCGATTTCTGGTAATTTGTATTTTGCGTCACGTTAATATACGAAGGTACGCATTTAGGCTTTTGTTTGAGTGGCTCTTGTTTGTATGACTTGAGTCACAGCACACTCAGTTTTTTGAGCTACTAAAAGGGTAAAACAGTCGGTACTTTCGTTATTTGGCCTGTACATAACCGTGAACAGAGGCCATCTATGCTACTGGGTTTCCAAGTCCCAGGCTTGAAACCACATACAGTTTGAATTATTCTATGGTGTCTTCAGGAGGCTAAACAAGGTCCAATTACTCTAATCCCCCCATATTTAATTAATTTTAGCCGTGGATTTAAGGTAATACCGCTGCCAGCTTCGTAGCAGACCAACCACTAAACTTTCAGAGAAAATCAAGTGACCAAGATAAGAGGAAGCATGCAGTTTACATAATAAACCATGAATTAAGACCTCTATTCAAACCAGTTTGAGGTTTTGCTTTTTGCAACCCGAGGACCAGCGTACTTGATGAATGAGTCAACATCCAGGGCAGAAATATCTCACCCCGAGCAGGTAACCCGATTAGTGCATGTACTGAAACTTTTTAGCCCTAGCTAGCATGAGCTTAGTCGCATGGCTTACTAACCATGTACTAAGTAAATCTGATCCCCGAAATAGTTGGAATGTGCTTCTCCGAGTTTCCGCTCCTTAGGAATCCTAAAAGTAAAAAACCACCACCAAAACCTCGGTGCTATCATTCCGATTCCACTTGTTGATTCGTGTCAATGATAAAACGTGACTGCAGGCGTATTTCTAACTTTTTTCAGTGGACTTTTTAAGACTATACAAACATCACTAATCAGCTGCACCAGCATTCGTGTATCAGGCAGTACACGATAGTTTTTTAGTGCATAGAGCAGGCTAGGAAAACAAGCAGAGGTACAAAGCACTCTGAGGTCAAGTCACTCAACTATTCATACCATCTAGGTAAGCTAATTTGAAAAAATGGTAGGTGCCTAAGTGCAACAGAGGCATGTCAGTCTGTTTCAGACGAAATAAAAACAACCAAGATGAAGACGAAAGTACGAACCTAAGGTTGAGAGTTCACTCAGTGCGACGAGCTAGCCTCTTGTGATAGGATGAGTGGGAATAAGTTCAATTGCTTTAGGCAACCCACGCGAAAGTGATAAGTGCTCATTTGCTGAAACGTTGGCAAAGTAACCTTTACAGTTAAGCAAAACATATGTGGACAGCAGATAGCTAGTCTGAATTAGCGTGCTAAGAGCACTGAAGGCACGGTTAATTTTGATTGTCACTTGACATCTGTGAGCAACAAGCAACACGGGACAGCTGACTCTTGAGAGTGGGATAATTCCGGGTATAAGCTTACGGGTTGAGAATAGAGCACAGATTGCTATACATGTTGAAAGTGGATAGTGGAGTAAAGTTGACAATGCGCATAATTTGTGCGAGAACTCACAGGCCGAATTCCGGGTTCAGTGTGTTGGGCACATACTTGTCTTTGGAATGCACCTTCTTGTTACCAAGTTTGATTTCAATATATGGATCAGCCTGCGGGGAGAGAAGTGTAAATCAGACAAATGAGGCTCTCAAAGACCGGGCTTGACAGTAAACCGGTGATTAACATCCATGTTTTCCATGTTTGTGAATCTTTTGCATAACTCTTACTTAACAACCACGAGTGATCTGAGGGTGAAAACTCATAACCTGGTAAGTAGGATGGTTCAACCTATTAGGTGTGAGTATTTTTTAGCTCTTAGTTAGAACAAACTGAAAACCTGAACGTTTGTAGGGAGTAGGCCTAAGTGGTGTGAGTGCAGCTCGTCTACGCTGTGTGCCGAGAACGTCAAAAGACTTTCAGGGTTTGACCATCGATGTCTTCGGAGCATTGCCCGAATCTGGTGGGAACACCGGATCAGCAATTCTGAAGTACGTCGAGTGGTATTCGGGAGAAATAACTCACCCTCGATAGATGACCTGATCACACTGCACAGGTTGCGCTGGTTTGCCCACGTGCTGCGTATGCCAGTCGACCAACTTCCTCGAAGGACTCTTTTCGCACAACCACGTGAAGGGTGGAAGAGAGCCAGAGGTGGTCAAACAATGACTTGGCAGCGAAGTATAAAAGCCATTACCAGCAAACTCAGCTGCGCTGGTCATTGCCGTCTTCCTGGATGGAGACCCCGAGACGGTCCACATCAATGGTTAGAGACATTGTCAGACATGGCCCAGTCGCGCTCTCAATGGCGCTCATGCATCCAAGCTATTGCCTTTAATGCATAGCTCTCTTCCTAACCCCCCACTTAACAGTCCACCTACAGTCCTGTATTTACGCACTGATTTATCAGCTCCCACCTCCAATGCGTAGCTACCTATCCCACCTCCCCGAATCATCGGTGAACGAAACTGTGGTAGCTCTAACCACTGTACGACAAGTACGCGGTTGTTACAGCTGGCAGTCATGATGATGGTGACGTCCGGAAGCAACTCATTCTACCAGCTGTGATTTGAAACTAATGACAGACGTCTGGATACAACAATGACTTCGAATTCCCTCATTGCAGAAAAACGCGACTATTTGACCTTTTTACTCAGAGCTGGTTCGTTTAGGGTATCTAATTCTAAATGGTAATCCTTCTCAAGCCAGTACCACGAAAATGGTGGTCGCCCAACAGTTTGGAAAAGAAGACCAGCCAAACTCAATTATTTAGGTCTACTTGTATTGTTCTATGGGAGTCTGCTGGTATTCTACCAATGAACCAAGTGTGTTAGGAGCTGTTTTAAGTACCCAAGAATAGGAGAACCAAGTTCATACCAGCAACATTCTTCAGGGAACTTCAGCTAAGGTTCTGGCAGTCTAATTATGTCTGATTATGTATGTAGGGATTGAACCAAGTGTCGGAACTTACTAATCCAGACGGATCGTTGGGTTGAAGGTCCGTTGCTTTGATGATGTAGACACGCACTATACAGTCTTCGGGTTTTGGAGTGACCATCAGATCTTTGAAGTACCTAACAGGGAGATCTGCCTTCGGGTCCTCTGGGAGCGCATAGATACGGAATGTTCCTTTGAAATATCCAACTTCATCATCAGCATCCTCGCTGGATTTCTTTATCGCTTTCAGGGGCATGTTGTCACAAAAATCCTTAAATTCGTGGAACTCTTCTTCTTTCTCCAGGGGTCCGTTCAAAACCTAGGAAAACAAAAGTGATGAGTTCGGGTACATTGAGGAAAAAGACTTGAAATATGTCCGCTGGTCATTTTTTCAAAGGCACTTGGACTGTGTAGTCGAAAACACCAACCTGCAAATGCTCATTGATTTCCTTTGTGAGTCTTCTGCCAAGGTTTGCCTCGAATAAGGTCTTAAAATGTACGTTTAAATATCTCACCAACTAAGTGGCTAGATCTATGTTATTTTTTCAAATGTGAACTAAGCGACCAGGGTCAAAACCTCCAGTTAACCTTGAAGAACAGAGTGAATCTGGATTAGTGAACACAAAGGTATTACATATCTATTTCGTTTTCATTGAGCAGCACCGAACGTGAGTGCTTTTCACGACGGTCAAACGACTGCGCCTTATCAATAGTCAAGTGAATGATCAAATGAATCCTGTTGGCTTAATCTGAAGAGAAGGTCTGCCAAGTTTTTTTTGCGTTAAACCGAGGTTTCTGGCTCTATACTCGCCGGCCTAGGCATTCCACTTGTAGCTGTCGGCGTCATGTAACAATGAAAAGGCTCCCACGGAAAAGTTTTAATTGTGAACAACTATTTACCCTCCAACGCTCAACTGTTACCCCTTCGGATTTTGCAGGCTACGAACTACCTTCAAACTGTTTGCCCTCGTGTCCAGTGTTTCTCAAATGATCACGTGATATAATTGTGTTCTAGCCTTTCAGAAAAGCTCCGTTTGACTGATTTACGCAATGAACCTTTCTATCCCGCATTCTTTTGTCTGAGTCACAGGTCTCCAAACTTGAGTTATCATGCCTGGAGCCGGCCAGTTTGTTCTTGCTTTTAGTTTCGAAGCAATGTGCACAAATGATTATTTCTCACAAATGACAAGTAAAGTGCTTCTCAGGATCTGAATACAACTCGCCTCACTCTAAACTATAGCTACAGACAAGACAGAGTCCACCGATCATTTGTCACTCCTGTAATAATCCAAACATATGACTTTTATCTTCTGAATATTAGGTGTTGAGTGCGTTGCGTTTGGTCATAGTTACAGGTCAAATGGGGCTGAGTTGAACCAAGGAGCTATTAGGTTACTTGGCTCAGGGTTGAACCAGTGACCTACCGCAAATGGCTAAGTTTGTACCACAAATTTCACATTCGGGTTATCGGATGGAGTTGAGAATATGGGTATCTCTGTTAACTTTTGGGCTATCTATCAAGCATTGGATTCCAACAAGTGGAGCAGTCTAACTGTTTAGTATTGTTCACTCAATTCCTGGTGGAGTTCGAACAGATATCCCTACCCTTTAATGATGTCCTTGGACAGGAAGGTGGAAGATATGAACAAAAAACATCAGAAATATAGCAGCCACGCTTTCTTTCCGTTGCTGCCATCCGCTTGAATGTATCAAATAAATGGTATATAACGAGTCTTGAAAAATGTTTCTTCAGCTAAAGCTGCAAACTCCATGGTGTATTACTACGTATCCAAGATAAGCTGAAACAAACCAACAGGCTACGTTTGCTAGTACAAAGCATTGTGAATAAATTGACAGTTGTTGATCTGGATCTATGCTATGTAGCAGCATGAAGCGTCAAATACAAACGACCTTTTTGTTGTCATTCTTAACTACTCGTAAAGAGCACAGAAAAAACCACACAATGGCTGTTCATTCCGGTTATCCGACAACCCTGGGGTGCGACTATTGAATTCTAGCTTCCAGAATAATTTGAACAATCGAACAGATAGTTACACTAGACTGGTACATTTCTTTTGGGTGCTATGATGACTGAATCACCCTGTTGATAAGTATAGGTGGCTTAGCGTGAACCAGTTTATTACTCAACTTGAATGGATTTTAAAAGTGCTTCAAGAAAGAACCATTTCCCGAATTGGACTGTGTCCGAGAAATTACACTCATTTGCAAATCAATTTGGGTTCAAGTAGAACATAAGGTCGATGTAAAACTGGGGGATTCGCGCCTACTTGATGAGCCCCGCGAAGGGCGAAACCGGTCGTTGGCTGTCGAAGAGTTTTCAGCAACTTTGTGAGTAGTTTACTTTATGAAAATATACTGCAATATCTCGAATATCGTACCAACTGAAACATGAGGCGGCCTGTGTGCAGCCCATTCAGTTGTAGAATATCATAAACCAGAGATTCAATTGAGTCTCATGTGAAAACCAAATTGATTTGCAAATGAGCGTATTTCTCGAAAACAGTCCGATTTGGGTTCAGGTAGAGCATAAGATTGATGTAAAAATCGGGGACTGCACCTACCTGATGAGCTCCACGAAGGGCGAAACCGGCCGTGGGCTGTCGAAGAATTTTCAGCAACCTTGTGAGTAGTTTCCTTCATGAAAAAATACTTCACTCTTGTTCACTTAGGATATGGAAACTACGCTAGACGCAGCATTGAAGTAGTCCTCTTGTCAGTCCCCTGACTACTAGCCTACTGTGTGAGCTGTGGATTGTGACAGCTGCACAATGATGGCGACTTTGACGCTTTGACCTCATTATCGAGTTATGTCCATCACTGTAGTGTCTGGACTAATGAGAAATTTCCGTGAGCTGTGGATTGTGCCAGCTGCACAATGATGGCGACTTTGACGCATTGACCTCATTATCGAGTTATGTCAATCACTGTAGTGTCTGGACTAATGAGAAATGTCTTCATACAGGTAGTTTCATTGGGCGCGAAACGACAGGGCGGACTTTGGTAAAAATGGTAGTTTTTAATTAAACTGCTAGCCAAACTTAGTACCTGTCAGCATAGTTTGACCAGTTGACGACATTGGGTACTATGCTCATAGGCCGACAATGTTTACGTGGGCACTAGTAGCCAAGACGAAACTCGCCTAGTTCACTCGTATAAAGGGATTCAAACTGATGTGTGACCATATGCTTTATTCGATTACTCCACTAAAAGCCTTTTTCCACTCGATCATTGTAAAACGGCTCACCGGTTGCTTCATTTTCGTACAGCAACTTTGCATGGTCACGCCGATGAGGATGGAATTAGATCCAAATGTTGACACCAGCGTTTTCCAACATTTTAACCACATCCATTGGTCTTTCGAGTAACGGTTAGAACTCTTCAGACCGGATATCAAGTTCACCTCTGATGCTGACCTATTGGACCTTCAGCATTCCGTTTTCTATTCATATAATTACATTTGTAGTCTCGAAGCTTGCAGTTTCAATATCTTATTCACTGGAACCCACTTAGTCATTAACTTTCCGTGGCCTTTCATATTTTCAGACACACCTCTTGCCGACCAGTAAAACCGTTTCAATTTTTTTCAATGTTTTGACTTCTGGGGAATCCAGCCGTGCTCCTTCGCATATATCAGAAACAAAGTTTGGTTTGTTCGCACGAAATAAACCTTAATTGAATTCCTAAGTGTTCCAATGCCAGGTTGATTAGAACATTGCAAAAATGTGACCTTCAGCACTCTGTCTCACAACTTGTTGAGTCGAGAGTATACAATCACTGGAAGTGGAAGACACATTGGAGCATTTGGTTTGTGTTTATTCATTCATGGGACAGAATAAAGGTATTGCATGTGTACTTCAGTCTGACGGGTGGATGGAAGGTATACATGTGTTCAATTTGGGTAAAACACGAGTCCAACTTGAAAAGCAGACGAAGCGCCGGTGTTCTGTTGCAATGTGTGCAATGTGCAATATCATATTACAGAAAGAACTCTGCTTCTTTTCGTCTTCGAACACTTTCTATCGGTCATTGTATAAACATTTTGTGACACTCGTCTCGGCTTCACTCAACTTCCACACATCCTGATGAGAATTCGTACACTTCCCGGAGTCGGGCACGAGTTGGACATGTTCGGGGTCCTGAACACATTAATGAAGCCGGTTCTCCAAACCTGTCTCTTTGATATACTATCCAAAACTGTTACAACAAGGCATGTGGTTTGCAGCATTGTTACCAGAGACCTTCACTCATGTGCGACGAGTGTTCTGTTGTCTGAGCTCATTTTCCAGTGGCCCACAGTAGATGGGGAGTATGACTCGATATTTTAGACAGACGATGTACGTACATGTGCTCCTTTTGTTTTCCGGTGAACTGGAAGGCCTATCTGGGTCGACAATTGCAACAACTATGATAGACCGTTCCATTACACGTACGTAGGGATTGCTGGCTCCTGTGTGTACACCATTTCAAGTTTTGGAGCCCGATCAATACCGAGTAATTTGACAATATCCAGAAGTAGTTGTTATCAGAATTTTGGGGTTGGGTCTATTTTCTGAGCTGTGATTGTGCTATGTTGGCGCACAGATCAAACTTTTGTGCGTGCACAACTCATTTACGAATACTGATCGAAGGAATTGAAAATACTACTTAAGCTTACCTGAAGTGTATCGTAGCCGAGCTCTTTGTAATTTCTACACCGGCCCCATTCGCCTAGAGAAGCGTAGTATTTGGACCACCAGTCAACTTCATCATCGATTTGTTCCAAGTCCAGCTTTGGTTTATTAGGAAAAAAAGGATATCGGTATAGGGATGTAGACCAGAAAGGAAAAAATGTTTAGAAACGATGTTGCAAATGAGTACATACAACACAGATCAATTGACAACAGTTTTTCCTCTTTCTCTTTTTTGTGTGTGCTGAACACAAACGAAACGTGAATAAGTGGTGTAGAGGCGTGGTATTCAGTGTCACTACATAGGTATCCACGATCATGCAAAACACTTGGGCGACTAGTAAACGTACAATCGAACGTTCAGTGATCAGTACGGTCTGATCACCTGTGATATCTCCATTGGCAACCTTCGCAAGTGACCGCTTTTGGTCCTGTGGGAATGAATTTTCATACCACTGAGAACAATGTAGAACAATATGGAATGCCTGGTCAATAGCAGATATCGAGGCCCGAGTGCACTGATATTCGAAAATGTGTGACTTAGTGGCTGATCCGTACATAAGGAACTAGTAAGCCAGCTCGACTCCAAGCAGCCATTAAATTCCTATAGTCCTATCGTCATATTTTTCACAATAACTTCAAAAGGCTACTGTTACAAAGCTCCACAAGTGTCTTACATCGACGAAAGTATGAAGATCACTGGTAAGACGCGGAGAAAATATTTCGAGAAGTCCGGTATGCTATTTTTAGGAGACTGAATCTGGCGTGTTTCATTTGACAGTGGAAGTTGGCTTGGATGGGCTTGTTGCATGTAAACAAGCACAAGATGCAGTTTTGCATTGATTTTGCTTATTACTTGTCCGCCTGTAAAAAACTCTTTGCTCACTTGGGGGCACCCGGCTGCATTATAGCAATATGGCCGTAGTTCGGGTCCAATCGACTCAAGGGCTTTATGACACGAGGAAAAGGGATGTCCATTTGACTCAGTAATGATATGAGTTGGACGGTGAACTGGATAGAAGACTGATATTTTGGAACCATATTTTTGTCAGTAACTCAAAAAGACACATAGTATGGTAAGAGGGATTGGTTGGGACGTAACCATGGCTGCATCCAATCGAATGGAGGTCAAAAGATGTGAAGCTAGCGGTGGATGGAACAGGATTCTGAACAGTATCCAGACGCAGATGGTAATTTCGAATAACAGGTAACTATCGTGGCAAGAGTGAGGTTTATCAGAAGTGACTGTACTGAGCTCAGCTTGCTTCACTGTACGACGGGAATCTTACAATCAGGTGAAAGTGCTTTCACTGAGAAATATTCAAACCCAAAATGAGGGTGGACCACACAATTCGGATGCGACTGGTCACTAAAATCTTCGTAGAATAGGGTCAGTGATTACGTAACGGCCGAAAATGTTGAACTACTTCTGCCTTTTCGAAAAATTTTGGTGACAATCGGTAATTGCTGGGAAACGTTTCGCTTTTGACATAAAAGCCTCGTAAGGCCAAGTGACTAGGTTCTGAGGTTGGTCGAGATTTAATTTAAGAGGAGACTGGAAGGAGAACCAATCAGCTATGTCGAGCTAAATCTCTGCTGGGTGTCAGCCGAGGGGTTTTAGTATGTTAGAGTGGTTGAACAACTGTTGGGTCGGTGGGGAACCTAAATGTGTTTGGGTCCAGCCTAAGGTCTAGTTCTTCTGGTTCGGTTCATGTGACGGTTCCTCTTGAACTTCGTTTGCACCTTCTGTCAGTCTGTATGGGAAAGCTAGTGCTAAGATAGTTGTGTAAGAGGGATGCTGTGACCTTTGGTCGGGTTGAGACTTCCACCACCCCCTCGGTTTTTTCTACGGATCCTACGTGGATTGACAACCACACCGTCACGTGTCACTTTATTAAGATTCAATCACGTTTGTTTAAAAAGTGACATGGAGAATGAAGTTTGGTAACTAGCCGAAACGGCTCTTAAATAGACAGTGATCAATGTTATATTGATCCTTTTTTACACGGTCGGTCATCACCCCAAAACAGAAATCAAACTTATTTTACCTTTGCTAGCGTGATAGATATTGGAATGTTTCAAAAAAACGCCACCTCCAAATGTTTATTGAATGGTAATCTATTTCGGGCCATCGCACTTAGAGGTCAAGAATAGTTTTTAAAGCGCACATAAGATAAAACCTTATCCTGACTAGATCAAACAGCGACCAACCTTAACAATCGGCTGACAGAGACCATCGATGTGTAGCTGCGATAAAATAACAGCCTAATGGTGGAACCTGGTCGGTTAAACACAATGATCGAAACCCACTCCTCATGCGTTCCAGTAATACTTTCCACTGCCTGAATGTTGAAACAAGCAATGACTGTCGGTACAACAGGTAGAAAGAAGAAGGTATCCGCTGCGGAGTTATTTGCCGGAAAATGCCAACTGACCAGTTACAGACTATTGGATGGGGGAGCAAAACTTTCATATGCATCTTATTTGTAAAAACTAAACATCCATCTTCTCTTGAACGCGTCTTTCTGAACTTCCCTGGATATTCATTGACTGTTGCCCAAATCAAAGCAAATGCTACAAAGCGACTCCACAAATTCTGCAGTAGATCTCCCCTTTCAAGAGACGCAAAGCGAATTCACAAGAAGAAAACATACTACTCGCATGTCCCCCCCATCAGTAGCATCACCGTTACACAGGTACATACTAGAACTATACCTGCAGAAAACACCATTTCTAACTGTCGACGAAAAACAACTAGATGAGGGAGCTTTTTACCTGTCCCTCCTGACAGTCAACTAATTGTCTGTTAATAGGTTCGGACGATGTTGATGTTGTGGTCCACGACATTAAGTAGTGGGACGGAAAAAGGATGACGCTGTACCCAGATAGTGATGCTGGATGGGCCTCACAGACAATATAGGTAACTTCTGTGGAGTGTTGCCATCCTATAAACCTTGCATTTGGTACGAAGCTGAATTGAAAATGTCATCACCGGTTTTTGGAAGTAAAGCGTACAAATAACGTGGCTCCTAATCAGTCATCATCTCCCAATCGCAAGCCTGCATACACATAATACTTAGGCACTCAGATGTTGAATCTTTTATGCATCTGCTTTGAACAAACTGACGAAACTCGCCTTCATGGTTGACTCTTCATTAGCCTCCTCTTTGTGCGCTATTCCTTAGAAAAAAATCAGAGTAGGCAACACTTGGAAAGGGACTCAATCGCGGTCAAGACAATCAAACAGATGGAAGTCTTCAGTCCTGAGAGCAGTCGTGCAAGTAATTTGGCGGCTTGTTGATTAACATTTGTTCAAACTGAAACGGTTGTCCTAGAAACAGAAGCAACCCCTTGGGCACATAAAACATCTACACTAAAATTGAGTTAGTAGCAAACACGAGGCGTTAGGCAAAATGACAACTTAAGAGAAGGACTCAACGAACGGGACGATTTTCAAACATGTTCATCCGCCACAAGGAAGACGAATGAAGCAATATAGTGTAAGCACTAAAATAGCACAGCACTTCACGTTGATTTATATGGGTACAGAGAGACGATGAACGACCTTACCTGATCTCTGGCTACCTGGAATGACAGAGAAGAACCTAACCTAATTTCATTTGGTCACGTGAAGAAACCCCCTGAAAATTACCAGAATACATATTTTGCCTTTCTGTATTTGTATTTGTATTGTATTGTATTGTATTGTATTTGTATTCGTGTATAATTCCTTTCTTAACAAGAGATTCCGTTAGAGCGCCGAGAGGGTCCGATAGCGTCGACAAACACATGAAAATTATGTGCAGTAAAGAGGCATTTATAGCAAAGTAAACAATTATTCTGAAAGCCGGAAGGGTGTCATTGCAAAACTCAAATGAATCTACTTCACGAGATTCGAGTAAGAAAAAGGAGCGATAGAAACCGGAGCAACAAAGGAAAACAAAAGCTGACAGTGGGCTGTTAATGGCCTTTTGCTAAACTTATGAGTGGCATATTCAATCGAAAAACAGTACTCACGGTTGAATTAACTGCCACATAAAACCCAGTTTATATATATATATACATATACATATATACATACGTATATGTAAATATATATAGTGTACTAAAAGTAACTCAGAAAGAGAGGTAGTGCCCTGAAAGCCGGTCTTCCTTCTAAAGTTAATCCATGAATTTCATACACTATGATATGTGTACGTACAACAATCTAAGCCCATTTTTTTCAGTGCGTAATATCTTTACGTCCTCACACAACGTTCCTCGTCTTGCTGCTTGATTTCGATCAACTGACTATGTCCTTCACCTCCTGCCTATTCAGCACTCAGCCGATCAAGCCCTCATACACGAAGCGCTTCATACCCGTTCCTGCTTGGACCCTGTACGCGAAGTCTTCTTCATCTATTGTCTGTTAGATTGCCAAAGTTGGACTGTGTGTGACGTTCACTTTTGATACACGATCATTTATCTTTGTAACTCTTCACGATTTGTTACTTTTTTATTTGGAATGTACTCACATGCAGTTACACAGCCAACACAAGCACGATTAATCAAAGCAATCCGCTTAGCATCCAAGAAGACCCAATAGAACAGGTAAATTGCTTCTGGGACCTGATTCCGATCTCCCTTCTAAGTGGCTAAGTGCGGTCAGGATTAGATTTTGAATCGATGGTGTCAAAGACATCGTCATTTAGGTATACATTCATCGATGTAGAATCTCACACAGCCATTTACTAAATAAATGGCTGTGTGATGCGGCCTCCGGTCCGTAGTGAGAAGGGTGTGTAATGCCAGCTGAAATTTTCACGGAACCGAGGTAAATGACAACCGATTCTCACGCCAAACATCAAAAGTCTACCGCAGCGACAATGCAAAATGGTGTTATGATGTCCAAGGCATTTCCAAACTGATTGAATGGCGTCGACCACAGTGAGTTGGAAATAACCGGCGAAAGCAAGATATCCAATTGTCCAGGCGTGCCATGTTACCAGTCCCACTCTAAATAGGTCTATTATGACAAAGACTGGTTCTCAGTAGTTTGCGCTGACAGTGAAATTCTGGGTTTTCGTGTACTTCATGATCACTCAATGGTAAGAAAAGTGGATGGGGCTATGCTTGAACCTTGCTACTGATTGTCGCTCATTAGTAGTATGGATTCGTCAAATCACTAGAGCTGGCTCATTCTTCCCCAGTGAGTGATTTATCTTGCAGACCAAATGCGGCTGGTAAGTTAAAATTTCTTCATCTTTTGTAGAAGAATGACAGAACCCAACAATGCACTAGCTGACAGGGTTGCTCAGGTCTGTAAGCTACACAAAGAAACATGTACTGAGATGTTTGTAAACTTTGCAATGCAATCCAACATCAAACAGGCAGGTGACTGCCACTACACACCTGCCAAGACAGGACGGAATGCTATTCAGATCCAAGCTTTTTCAAGTTAGTATTCACTAACAGATAGTAAAGTAATACAAATCGCACTAAACTTGTACGTCGACTGTCACGGTGACGATGTATTGGATTTTGGCATTTACTACACATAGGGTAGAAACATTCACACACCATTACTGCATAATGGCGGTCGAAACGACGAGTGCTTGCGACCTTAGAACCGGATTATCCGGATTACCAAAAATTTCCATTGATGAAATCATGGTCTCGAGAAACAGAGCAATGCAGCTGATAAGTGAACTTAATGTTGATTCAGCTACCCGCATGCATAACTAGGGGAGAACTAGGAGAATTCTGACTGGGTGGGTAAAACTGTTCTTCTGATAAGAGAATTTGCGTGGTATGCATATGAGATTGTTTAGTTGTTTCATGCTACTCAAAAACTGAATGACAAATAAAGGTTAGTAACTTCACGAACGGAGGAGAACGGCACCTGTGTAGAATGCTGATCAACTACAGATATCAACGTGTAACAAGATTTTGCAGAATCAAAACTTGGAAAACGAGAGCTGGCTTACAAACTGCTTTTTGTGAGTTTTCTTTTGTACATCTTCATGCTCTCCTGGTGCGGCTCCAAGCAGCTGCATCCGGAGGGAATTTGCATGGTATGCATATGAGATTGTTTGGTTGTTTCATGCTACCCAAAAACTGAATAGCAAATAAAGGTTAGTAACTTCTCGAACGGAGGAGAACGGCACGTGTGTAGAATGCTAATCAACTACAGATATCAACGTGTAACAAGATATTTCAGAATCAAAACGTGGGAAACGAGAGCTGGCTTACAAACTGCTTTTTGTGAGTTTTCTTTTGTACATCTTCATGCTCTCCTGGTGCGGCTCCAAGCAGCTGCATCCGCGCGTATTCAGGCACTTCTGGTGTTGGGAGTTCAAGTCGTTCTCGAAGACCTGAGGAAGGCACAATTGAAATACGGAGGAAGGCGAGCTAGGCAGCATGTATCTGACAAAATACTACAATAGTGGACTGGTATAAAAAGGTGTGTCAATAACAGTTAAATGTATCAAGACGAACGCTTGTTCTACTAAATCCTCACTACCTACATGAACCCCTCCTGATAACGGAATTAATAAACAGGTTGGAATAAGTGTCTTTTTGGGCTGCTTCCACATAGTTTGCTGACCACTCTAACTGGGATCAGGAAGCGACCGGTCAGTCGCTGGCGATGCACAACTGAACAGTCAGTCTGCTCGAGTGTTTCTTTACGAATCTCTGGTTTATTGACACAAATGTGTCCCCTAGATAGCGCACACCAACATGTTTATCGGTGAATACACAAATGTCACCATAACTGAAGCTGCCTGTAATGCACATTTATGGCTAATGTAAATGCAGGTTGGTACAAACTGGAAACCGATACGGGAAGTCTGCAAAATGTAATGTTCAGATTCGTGTAGTATAGATAAAAAACACCTGGGGGGACTAGGATCACTATCCTCCACCAGCTGGACGGGTACCGAATCAGGTGAACTGCTGGAGACTCTTTTCCTACACCACATTTGTCCGCCTGTACTTCATACACTATTTGTCATGCTTCTGCCCAGTGGATTGACAGTAGATACTTGTCGGCGCCATCAGTCAATAACGGATCAAAGGCTGATCTAATCCAGCTATACAGGCGGCACCGATAAAAATAGATTAAGATTAGTGAGTGACCAAACACTGAAACTGCGAGGCCAACGTACACGTGGTGTAAACAGAAAGACGCTCTGAATTGAAGCAAACTGTCGATCATGCGTTTACCAAAAGGACGCTCCGGAATATATTTCACGATTTGTACACAGCTTTTGCAAATAACGGTGAATAGTGCATTTGATAAATGAACATATTTTGAAGCAGGACGTAGTGGTGCCAACGGCAACTCCATATTGAACGTGCATACCGCTTGAGGTTGATCAACCACTCATCTAGCTGCATCTATGTACAGGTCGACCATTTTAGTGTTCAAGAACAGACGTTGTCGGGGACGAGGCTGACCGCGTTGCTTACTAGCATTGGTCAGGAAATGGAATATTTTGAGGCAGAAGTAAGGCAGGGCACTGTGACTGTACCCAAACGCGCCACCAAAATAGGTAACATTTTGCATTATATGCAGCATAGTTAGAAACGTTTTTGGAAATAGGAAAAGGAACATTATGATCCCAATTTAATTTATTCGCAAGCGAAAAAGGGAATGCCTTTTGTTACCGCTGTCTTGGATAGGGTTACCCTGTCGTATCAACAATTAAGAAAGTCAAGAAAACTCACCAGGTACAAGTAGTACCGGATCGATTTCAGTAGTTCGTGGATTCACACGGTAGCTGTTTAACGATGTCAACACGTGTCTGCCCACTTTGGGTCTTTGTCCGAACGCGCGGTGGTCAACCACGGTGATGTTCAAAGGTGGTGAGTACAGATCGACAACAGGGAGCATGACGTCCAGGAATAGGACGGGATCATCGAAATTCGGATTGTCTTTGGCGCTCTTAAGCTTTTTTGATTCCACTTGTTCGCCAGCAATCTCAAATTCTACTGACGGTGAATTGACGCTGGCTAACTCATACTTGGCCATATTACGAACTCCCCAGCACAGGATTTCAATGCCAGTACGTCTCAGCTTGGGACGAATCACATCTGGAACCTTGTAGATATCTCCACGACGAGGTGGTGGGACAGGTGATTCCTGTCCATCTATCTGTAGAAGTTAGGAAGATGAATCATCCTCTAGATGAGTACACAATGTGTGGCTGGAATACCAAGAGCGCAGAGATACACTTGCATAATAGAACAGATCATGACTTATTGATGCTAACACAGGGCCTTAGCAGTCACCAGCCAGTTGAACTCCAAGCCCATAAGTTGTCACTAAGGCGACCTGGCTAAGATGAACAATAAAAACCAATCGGTTTTCACGGTTTCACGAGGGAACAAATGGCCTGAGTTGCTATCCTGCCACCACAGGCCAAAATCATCAGGTCTAGGAATGAGTTTGGTGGCCCCGTAGTTTTCATATGAACTGTTTGAGAGTCTGATTAAGCTAGCCGGTTCACCTTAACAAGAGTGAAGTCGGTGGTCGAAGAGCCGGCTCCGCTATTTCCATCCTTAGAACAACCTAGTGGCTCATTCGGCGATTAATCCTATCACATGGAGACTGCATGTGAAGTTTTTTATCAGGTTCTGTCGGGTTCCGTAAATGCCTTAGGATAACTCAGACCATCCAGTATACTGATGTCGTTCAGATAATGACATTTGACGCAGATCAGTGACTGAGTAGTTTCATGTTTTATAATTACTTTGCCCGGAACCCTTAATTCTATTTAAAAAAGGTGCCGAAAAGTGTAGCTAAAACCGTTAGAAGCTGATAAAGGTCTCTGTAGCTGCTAGCACCTTGTAAACAAATGCGGAAAGACTGAACTATGGAATCAACACTGACCGAAATCCGTTTGTGCCTATCTGTCGCTAGTGTGAACCATCCGCACCCAACATCGTTCCATTTTGTTCAAGACGATTCTCCTCGTTTGTTTTGTTCAAGTGTGTGAAAAATCCTGAAAAGCTGAGCATTCATTGTACACAGGGCTAACGACCTAACAGAAATTAACACGAGTTGATGGCAGTCAACGGGTGTTGAGAATTTTCACATGCAACGAATTGGTTCCACCCTTTCCGCGTATATCATTCACATTCCTGGTCACGCACTGCGCAACCTGTGTGGCACTACTGCACTCTTATCCATCTCACAAGTGAAACGTAATAGCTGGCAAATAAATGATAGTTTTCCTCACAATTGTCCACAAATGAATCTGAAAAGCGTATGGATTCGTGCTCCAGTGGTTGCTAGTCTGTGTTTGCTGTCACGGACGCGAGTTGTCGTCAACGTGAACTATTGTTGTTCTCTAAGCCTTTTTTAGATTAAAGCAGTTGGAGAACTAGGCAGATTGTGACGCGGTGGAGTGAAGCGGGCAAAACTACAAAACGCCTAGGTGTTGTTGGTGTTGTCTGCCTTCTACTTGGTCCTCACCGATGCTCTAACACAACACCGTTATACAGTCATGGTTTGATTGTGGACCTTGCTACATTGCTTACATATGCCCTGACAAAGATGAGGAAGCACGCACAAAGGAAGCGCAGAATCGCCGTCGTACATGGAGCCAGTATGTTGACTTTTTCCAGACAAGAGCGGTAAGTCCAGTCAGCTATCCGTACTGGGGTTAACGAGGACATTTCGGCTCCCTCTTTCCAGGTTGCTTTGCACGTAGCCTTCACCTGTGCTCTGAAAATGCCATTAGTGTGATTTCTTTCATTTTTCTAACCCTTTAGGGCTCACCATATCGACCAGGCGATCAGCCATGATCCAAATGAATGTCAATACACCATGCATCATTGTTGGTATGAAGTTTAGCGCGGTGCATTGAGAGTTCAGTGCCGCACGTGGGACACAAGCGGATGCTGTCACGGTCTTCGCAGAAACTCGTGTGGCAGTCTAAGCTTGCTAACGAGGGTTGATCTCTGGAGACTAAGCAGGAAAGAGCAATCACATGCCGCATTCATAGGCTGGGGCCTGATATCCACTATACATATATATATATCCCATGGGAACAGGACAAGCTATTTTAAAGCATTTTAGCTTGTCTGCAAGGCCATGTGTTGCCAAGCTGTCAGTCTATTTCGTTTCAGGAATCTGATAGTAGATGCTTCCTTGGTATCATCAGACCATGACCACTGTCCCAGTAAATATTTATGTTGGCTGGTACGCCATGCGTACTGGGTTGCTTGCCGGCGCATATGGATCATTTGAAGCTCAGGTGTACCCTTCGGTTGAAATAGACCTGTCTACTATTTAGTGAAGGCGGACCGCCATCATTTCGCTCCTTAACACGAGTGCGTGTTAATCGGTAAGTCAAGAAAAAACAATGCAAATCCCGCCAATAAAAACTCCAAGGTTGCGTGAGGTTGCACGGTTTCTTGAGGCTAACCGGTCACACACGCACTTCCAGGCTGGCCATCTTGATGGTGGTGTAAAAGTCCATACTAATTTCAGTATCTTGCAGCTAAATCAGAAACGGTCGCGTTTCCAAAGCTACTGCTAACCTTGGAGTAGTGGAACGTCCGAAAATTGTTGGATCCAGATGATAAGTAAATCGACCGCCTTGATTGCAACACAACAGAGGAGCTTTGGCGGCCTTAAGAATAACGCGACTAGATGACCAGAAAAGCCGACGAGGGGTACACCTCCACTGGATCAACTACCGAGAGCAAAAAACGGCATCATGGTGTCCGGCCACACTAACAAAAATGCTCGACCCAGAAGCTGTGACCTCAGTCCACGTCCTGTTTCATTGTACCTGAGTCTGACAGACCGAACCTAAGTGACTGTGATCAGTGCATATGCCCCAAACTTGTGTGGGCAGTGAGTGGAGTTTCGCAGAGAAGCTCTGATATGTTCCCTAAGCTGAATGCTGTATTTCTCTATTCTCTGAAATCTACTTTATATAGCACGTGTTTGTGTTGCGCTGTGTTGTTTTGAGTTGTGATACGTATTATCAGTAGTGAATGGATGAAATACTTAAGCCTCCAGGGTATCAGGATAAACGAAAGTCACTGTCACAATCAAGGGCTAAAGTTTGGCACCCGATGACTCAAGTCATCGGTATTGCTAGTGACGATGATAAGAGTGAAGAAGATGGGCAACTCACCAATATCATTTCGAAGGCAGCCAGAAGATCACCACCATCCTTGCTACCCTTGAAGATCTTATACCAGAACAGGTTGGTTTTCCTTGGTTGTTTCACGTCGAGTACGACGATGGGGTGCACCTAGAAAGTGTTGACATTGGTGATTTGGTATTCAATATGAATGGCCATAAACAAGAACACAAGGTAGCTAAATATGCCCGAAATAGGTCACTGAGCGTACCTCACAGTGTCCCATATATTCATCTTTTCCGACTTGATCTTGGTCGAAAAATTCCAGGGTAACCGTAGGTGGGGATATTTGTATTGCTTCGGGCGGACCGTAAATTCTCACTCGCTCAAAAATCAGCGTCTGATCCCACGTGGGACAGATGGTTTGTTGTAAGGTTTCGGTGCGTAAACACATCCCTTGGAACGAACAGAATATATAGGGATCTGACCATCCAGACTGATCTAAGGCCAGCAAATTTCGCGCCTGAAAGATGTAGGCACGCAGCTGCCATTCGTGTGGTCCTGGAAATAAATCAGTCGAAACATGATATGTGGTACCGTTTGGAAAAAAATTTAGACATTTCATCGTCCCACCGAATGATTTCATTTTGAAAGAAGCTTGTCGACATTTTTTTGAATATGCTTGGGTAAGAAGCACCAAACTGATTTTTTCAATAAGGATTGTGCACCAATCATATATAAGGGAAGCCTGATATCTACGTACGCACTCAAATTTCCCCATACTACCAACAATCTGTAAGTAACACAGAAGGGGAATGCAATTCGCCCGTTGAGTGTAGCCTCCATCTGAGAAGCACTTGCTCCAGGAGCCAATCAACACGTGTGACCATATGAAGTGGATTTGATGACTGAAAGATGAGCGACGCTATATTCTGTCTAGCTGTGTGGTTTAATCACACTGCTGACCAGCCGCTTGTGGCCAAAAGTGTTCCAACTACTAAACAGGAGGTCGCGGGTTTCAGTACCCCTAGAATTTCGTGCGCTGCGTATTGCCGATAAATTCCCAATGAGGACGAAACAGATGTACAGCGCTCCTCAGTTCTCAAAACAATAGCTTGGTTTCATGCACAGGACAAAATTTCTACTGGGTTTTTGCCTGTTTTAAAAAAGGATTTGAGAAAACACCGCGGGACGCAACCGTGCATGATGCTCACTCACTTTCAAATGACAGGTAAATTCTTGGAACAGTCAGATTTTCCTTCTGAAATTTCGTATAAAAAGCCAGTGTAGAGCGAAATCTCGGTGTATTAGGGAAGCGCGCCAACTATTACATGACGCAGAGTGAATACAAAACCCAAATCCAAAAACCGTTGATATACGACAAACTGTGCGGTGCCAACACAGGAAAAAACGCCAAACTCCAAGAATTCCCTTTCCCCTGAATAAAATAAATAACTATGCTTACCGTGACGAAACCTGGGAAAATGAAACCGGGACCTATAAAGATATTCAGTTACACTTCTGAGTTTATTCAAACCCGCCTAAATGGAAAGCATGAATCACAGCAATCAGTAGTAGCCAAAGTTCCAAACTGGACGAAACAGTCAGTAGAACGTTCATTTTCAACAAATGCCGAGTAGGATTCAAGTGTTTACTCCATTTGGGACCAAAAGCAACGTCCGGTAAGTTCCCGTTTCTTTTTTTTGTTTTTTTATGGGGGGAGAGGCATGCAAATTTTTGGTTGTCCTAGGTTAATCCTGATGTCAAATACCCGTTCTCACATCATAGTCCATGCAGAAAAAACGCCGTAGGTCATTGCATGCACGAACAAGATTATGTTCAGTTATTTATTGTGGTAGCAAGCGTTGCTGAGAATCCGGGCCTGGTTTGTTCGATTACTGACCTTGTGGCGACGGAAGAAGCGAAACAGGCTCTTTTAGCAACAATTACAAATTATATAACAGAAAGGGTCAGAGATAAAGAGAGAGAGAGGGAAAGGGGAGAGTAGCATCAGTAATATTACTACTATACACACCGGTAATAATCGTTGATCGAATCAAAAGAGATGATGAAGCGAAATCATGTGGCAAATTACTTACAATTCCGGTCTAGATGTACAAAGCGGAAGGTAGGATATGCAGTGCTTGATCATGTGTCAAAATTATTCGTTCAACATCGCTAGAATCCCAACCATTCGGAAGCATACTCATTTGGATGCTGTCCTCTAAAGAGCAGATTCAAATAGCTTATTCATCAAGTGTTTAACAGCGTTCGTTTTGTGCGGCTTTTGAGTGAGCAGTGATTAGCTGGGAGTGAGGCTCAGAGGTTATGCACTGAAGTGAAACATTGTTTCTGAGTGTCGAGTTAATTCAGGTCGAGTTGAGAGACTGAAAATAATCATGTAGTGCTTATAAATGTACTGTAGAAGAAAGAACATTTGAAATACTGGGTTAACGGGGATGTCGTTCCCATAAGTGACTTATGACGTTCTGAAAACAGGCGAGTCAAAGGGGGTCTAAACTGCCTCCATAGGTGAATGTAAAACTGTAGGATAGCTTAACATACCTGTGTGTGCACAATGATGAAGAAGCTTTGGAGAAACTACTGTTCAAGGAGTGAGTAACACTAAGAAGAATGCCTTTGCAGAAAATATGACCAGCACCAAAAGTCGGCGAGCCCACCACACTTTTAGAAAAGTTTAATGGATCTGAAAACAGAACGTAGACCTCTTCATTCAGTTCAAGGGACAACTGGAGGAGAATGATATAAGCGACAGGACGAGATCCCGTACAACGTAACACTTTCAGAGATTGAAAAAAGCCTTCTAAACCCCAATTACACAGGTTCGAAGTTTCTTGTCCAGACTAGGTTATGAAAATATGAGACCTGACGGAGTAGCACTCAGTGACACTGGCAAATAACGGAGAGCGAGACTGATATATGCAGTCCAAGCACGTGTCTGTTATAAGGCTGAGTGATGGATCAATACACATTCCAGTGTCTAGTTTGAGAGACCGATAGGAGGTAAATTCAGTGGTGACTGCTTGAAGAAGGTTTAAACAGAAGAGCTACACACCAAACACAACTGGGCAATTGAAACTAACTTGGAAGAGATTCATATGCGACCGAACGACTGAATTTTATGATGAGGTATATCCAGTTGATGGTTATCAGGTGTTCCATCACCGCAATATTGCTCCAACATACTCCAAAACTCCTGTCAATTTCTGCTTCCAAGTGACGATTCAACATGATGACAAACAGAGGGGTTGATATCTGTGATATCCGACTGCTGTCTCCGCTCCAGTGCTCAGTGCCGGAAAAAAAGCCCTCTGACAAGAAACACAACATCTTTGTGCGAACAAGTGAGTGAGTGCAAATACAACAGCCTCACGGTGTATTTTTAAGGGCACTGTCTGACCTCGATCAGAGGCTGTCGGACTGACGTTTAGTGGAGTTTGACGGTCCCAGTAGTTTTCGGGTATTCTCGGATAATCTTAAAAAATCTGACCTTCCTGACAATATCTCGAGTTATCGGGCAATGAAAATCGTTCATCTCTTCACGGTGGTAAGCCTTGTGTGTTTCTTCTTTTGCACCGCAGAAACTAGCTAGCTACAAAGGCAACAGCATCTAGGAGTGTCATGCAGGGCAAGATCCCTAGGAAATCGATGGAATCCAGAGCACCCAAACGTAAGAACCGGTGTGAGGCTGCGAAGTAGGTTTGTTTAGCCAGAGTCTAGGGGTAGTCTTTCATCCCTTCATCAGTTACCTGTCCGAATGTTTTCCTTGACAGGTTTTCCCTAAAAATTCTTAGTGAAATTCAAGCGAAACTCTGTCATTTTTGTTGTCTAACTGTTCTTTAAGTTTGTCAAGCAACTGCTCGAGAGCCTGAAAAGTTATATCAAAAACACCTTTGAGAATACCGTGTAACACTGAAGAGTTTCAGCAAAATACTATCCAAGAAATGCAACTTAGGTTGACACTAATAAAAATCAAAGTGATTATCGACCAGCCTCAGGTGAAGCCGATGCCTGTGGGAGTTAAAGACATATTTTGACAGCTGGAAATTAAAAGTACCGACTAGCCGTTTGGCTAACAGACAAATCGTGAGTTCAGGTAAATCAGTGGGAATGATAAAAAATCCTGACCACTATGTGTTAAGAATGAGGGCTCGAAACCCCCTTGTGTTCATTACTCAATAAATGCTGCTATACATTAGAATAAGCTTCAAGTACATACAACTAAACTGAAGATCAAAGATTAGTACACAGGGTTATGCACGAAAAACTCGGTTTGCAGGTGAAAGCCACACCATCGACTGTGATGAGTGTTGTCCACAGCACTGACTGCAAATCATGGGGCACTAGGCAAACTAGGACAAGCAGGTGATCTGCCTTGAAGTGCTTGGAGCACACATGCTTGACAATTGCCCAATTAAAGATGAGTCTTGGGCGTTTTTGTCTCTATGCATTAGTGGGTTATACTAGCGATGATACGGAAAAAGAGCAGGATATCATACGGGCAGTTATAACAAGTGTTTCAATCCATGAGACAACGAGCCGGTGTATATACAAATTTCAAACGTGGTAAGCAAAAAAAAGCTTACTTACCTTTTTTGACTTTTTGACTTCCTGGTCAAAAGTCCACAGGGAAGGTGAAAGGCAAGAGATTATTTTTGTAGGCATCTTGAATTGTAATAATATGACTACGTACAATACATGTAATAAGATATCCTGTCTTGATCACACGGCTTGAGGTTGTTTCTTCACTTGTTGTCCAGGCTGTACTGTTTTTCAGTTAATTGTTCTGGCGATGTCGGAGTGACATTTTCCGATAGATTTGCTTGTTTTCCAGAGCCATTAGGTTCATATTCCACATTCAGTCCTGATTTATCAGATAACAGTATCACCCATCTCCTCCTCGCTACATCACAGAGCACCTAACACTGTCTGGTCCCTCACCAATACAAATACCAGGTTCGACATCATTTGGTCTCGTAATTCGTCCCCAGTATAGCTGATCCACCAGCGTACCTATGCTTTCTTGTTTAGTCCCGTTCTTCTGGTTCCCAACAGACTACCATATTTGACGTAGAAAAGCCGGAAATTTGAGAAACCCTGAATAAGTACAGAAGCATACATGAAACAAATAACACTCGGAGTCCCAGGACGGAACTCGAACGTGCAACCGCTCCCCATGTGAGACCTGTTCAAGGACTCGTTTGCATTAGGTATGTTTAGTCACTATTCAGGAATCCTTTATTCCCAGAGTCAGAATGCTCAGTTTGAATTGGCCTGAAAAGAAATGCATCCAATCAGCTTGGGAAATGAGAGACGTTTCACCTACAAAAGTTTGTATTTGAGATTTCATTCTGCAAGGAAGGTTATTCTGTGATCGGCCCTCGTTTTGAACTATCGGTGGTAGGCATCCGAAGAATCCCTGTGGGTAAATTTGAACTTGCGGTCTAGTGGTTATCAGCTGAATACCACACAATTTGGCCACGAACGGTTAAAACTTTACGTACCTCGGTAGTTGCAGCTCTGACGGAAATGTGTCCGATGAAGTCAGTGTAAGAATCCCAAAGGTTCGAATCCCGTTTGCTAATTTGCGTCACCTGTGGCGTCAAAATGTATCTTACTAGATCTTAGGAATCGTGTACCAGGCTACAGTAAGGGCTGTGTTGTATGGGTGCGAGACAGCTTCTACGGACAGATAATGTGAGGCGTCTTCAAATTTTCTAGAACCGATACCTCAGAGGCATGGGTGATTTTGGATGGCGTCAGCGTGTTAGCAACGTGGTGATTGGAAAGCGGGTATTTGGTTGTGCTGCAGGCACCTCAATCCGGGAAAACTTCCAGCATCATCCACTACGATGTCCCGGTCATGTGATACGCATGCCGAAACACCGTCTCCCGGGGCGAGTGTTGTTCTCCTTGCCTCCTTCAGAATGGCGCAAACCGCGAGGGGGACAGCGAA